CTGGGGGTGGGAGATTGGATCACCGTTTTTTACCCTAATGATGGTAATAGGTGTGGCGCTGCAGGTTACTTTTTTGATGGAGTTAAATGGTGATTTGTGATCGCGGGCCACTGAGGCAGACTCTATCTCCTCAGCAACCCGCGACCACCACCCATCCTTGCAGCGCCTTACGGCTCTCCGAACCTCCGAGCGAAGGCTGCGGTAAACTTCCTCATTCTCTGACGTGGGATGCTGTAGCCGATGAGAGTGGGCCTGTCGCTTTTTCTCAACTAACCTGAACACCTCCTCTGTCAGCCAGGGTTTCTGGGGAGGTCTGGACCGCGTACCCAAAGCAGCCATTGCAGCTGCATGAGTCACAGTCCTAAACCTCGCCCATTTACCCTCGACATCTGGAGGAGTGGGGGACGATGCCAACCCCAGCTGCAAGCGATGATGAAATTCTCGCTTGCAACTTTCATCAGCTAACTGAGACCAGGCCACTTTTGGTTGGAATGGGGTCCTGGGTGTACACCCACCACCAGAGTGGAAGAATGGCAGGCGCATCTTACAGATGACTAGTCGATGGTCAGAGGGCAGGTCAGCTCCACGGTAGGTCCTGGTGTCAAGGACATGGGCTCGCATCCGCTGGTCCGTCACTATGTAGTCTAGCAGATGTTCTTGCTTGGACCCGGCATGCATCCATGATGTTGTGTGGATGCGCCGATGCCGGAAGATCGTGTTGGTAATTACAAGCCCATGGGTTGCACAAAAATCTAGCAGCCTCTTACCGTTGTTATTGAGCTGATCTGGCCCATACCTTCCAATCACTCCAGACCAGGTGCCAGCATCATGACCAACTCGGGCATTGAAGTCACCCAACAAGATGACTCTGTCCCGAGTGGCCACTTTAGCCAGCACCTGTGACAGGAGGTCATAGAAGGCATCTGACTCATCGGCTTTGCCTGCATCCCTCTCTTACACACACACACCGACACACACACCGACACACCGACACACACCGACACACACACACACCGACACACACACACACCGACACACACCGACACACACACACACCGACACACACACACACCGACACACACACACACACCGACACACACACACCGACACACACACACACCGACACACACACACACACCGACACACCGACACACACACACACACCGACACACACACACACCGACACACACCGACACACACACACACCGACACACACACCGACACACCGACACACACACATCGACACACACACACCGACACACACACACCGACACACACACACCGACACACACACACACCGACACACACACACACCGACACACACACACACCAACACACACACACCAACACACACACACCGACACACACACACCGACACACCGACACACACCGACACACACACACCGACACACACACACACCGACACACACACACACCGACACACACCGACACACACACACACCGACACACACACACACACCGACACACACACAGACACACACACACCGACACACACCGACACACACACACACACCGACACACTCACACACCAAAACACACACACCAACACACACACACCGACATACACACACCGACACACACCGACACACACACACCGACACACACACCGACACACACACACCGACACACACACACACACACACCGACACACACACACCGACACACACACACACCGACACACACACCCCGACACACACACACACCGACGCCGACACACACACACCGACACACACACACACACCAACACACACATACCGACACACACACACACCGACACACACACACTCCGACACACATACACACCGACACACACACACACCGACACACACCGACACACACACACACCGACACAGCAGACGAAGGAATTCACTTCGGGGCGCCGCCGTCTCGCGGCGCTCTTCAGGCGCCGTCCGTCAGCGGCGGCCGCGGAGGCGCCCGGGCAGCAGCCCCTGGGCCCGGGGGCTCAGCCCGGCGCGGCGGTGAGCGGTGGGGGTGGGGGGGTGGGGGTGAGGGGTGAGGGTGGGGGTGGGGGCTCGGGTGGGGGTGAGGGTGGGGGTGGGGTGAGGGGTGAGGGTGGGGTGAGTGGTGAGGGTGGGGGTGGAAGGGTGGAGGGGTGAGGGTGGAGGGGTGAGGGTGGGGGTGGGGGTGGGGGTGAGGGGTGAGCAGTGAGGGGTGAGGGAGGAGGGGTGGAGGGGTGAGGGTGGAGGGGTGAGCGGTGGGGGTGGGGGTGGAGGGGTGAGGGGTGAGGAGTGAAGGTGGGGGGGGGGAGGGGTGAGCGGTGAGGCGCGGTTCGACCCCGTGCCCTGCCCGCCGCATCGCGTCACTGGGGAGACAAAGGCGGCCGGGCGTGGTGCTGGCCACCCACCCCTCGTGTGTGGCCACAGCGCCGGCAGCCTTCACAGGCGTCACTCGCTACAGCACTTGCCCTGAGTCCCTTACAGGCTACACGGGGGAGCTATCTATTGGTTGGGGTTCGTGTGTTTGGCACTAGCTGGCAATAGCTGGCAACATCTGGCACCAGCTGGCAACAGCTGGCAACATCTGGCACCAGCTGGCAACAGCTGGAAATAGCTGGCACCATCTGGCAACATCTGGCACCAGCTGGCAACAGCTGGCAACATCTGGCACCAGCTGGCAACAGCTGGCACAAGTTGGCACCATCTGGCACCAGCTGGCACCATCTGGCACCATCTGGCACCAGCTGGCAACAGCTGGTACCAGTTGGCACCCAGCGAGCGCTCCAGGTGTTGCCCGGTGCCTTCTCGCGCCGAGCCGTCACCCGCCCGCTTCGTCACCTCGAAGTTGTCGCGTCGCTTCGACTCGCGACTCGCGACTCTCCGACCGCGAGGTTTGTGGACTCCGTGCAGGGGACCTCGCCTGGGCCTGCGGGAGGTCGTGGGTTTTGTTCGATCCCGACCCTGACGCCTGCCGCTGTTGATTTATTTGGACTCCAGACGTGACCTCCAGCCGTGACCTCTACCTGTGATCTTCTTAAGACACGTTCCCTACTCATCATACTCACCCTACTCATCATACTCACCCGTACTATCCCTGGCACACGCCTTGCCCACACACTCACCTGACACTCACCTGACACTCACCTTTTGCAGAGACAAAGATCCCCCGTGTAGCCTCTAACAGACTGTTGGGGCAAGTGCTGTTAGTGAGCTGCACCTATGAAGGCCGGCACAGCGCACGAGGGGGTGGTGTGGCCAGAATCACGCCCGGCCGCCTTTGTCTCCCCAGTGGCGATGTATACTACACACCGCACCAGGTGCTCATTTGAGGCCGAGTCGACCTAGGGAAGGCCCAGGAGCGGTTCAGATAATTGTCACCGGTGTTGGCCGTGAACGGGAATCGAACCCGGGTCGCCAGGTTCGTAGCGCAGCGTAGCGCTAACCGCTACACCACCGTTCCCCTTACTCACCCACACACACACACCTTACCCAGGCACACACACTCACCCTTCTCACCCACACTCACTCACGCAGTCTCCCGATAACATGCAGAGTGAAATATTTTATTGGACCGAACATTCAAATGTAACAAATATCGACAGTACACTTCTCAAACGGCATCTCCCACTCTCCCCCCCACACTCCCCCCACCCACTCTCACACTCTCCCCCCACACTCTCCCCCCACTCTCTCTCCACACGCTCTCACACTCTCCCACTCTCCCCACACTCTCTCTCCACACGCACTTTAACACTCTCCCCACACTCTCCCCTCCCACTCTCTCTCGACCTTACCTACGACAATATTTCCTACGACCATTTATCCCACAACAACAACAACAGCTGTCCAAAGCCCCCCCATCCCCCCCACCCCCCTCATCCCCCCCCCCATCGACCCCACAAAGCATTTACAGAGCGCGAATAAATTAAACACAGCACTTGCAGTAGGCACAAACGAGCGAAAAGCACCAACACCATCATCATCATCAACACCATCATCATCAACAACATCATCATCACCATCATCATCATAAACACCATCATCATCATCAACACCATCATCATTATCAACATCACCATCATCATCAACACCATCAACACCATCATCATCATCAACACCATCATCATCATCAACACCATCATCATCAACACAATCATCATCATCAACACCATCATCATCAACACCATCATCATCATCAACACCATCATCATCATCAACACCATCATCATCATCAACACCATATCAATCATCAACTCCATCATCATCACCATCATCAACACCATTATCATAAACACCATCATCATCATCATCAATACCATCATCATCATAAAACACCATCATCATCGCGTGATCCGCGAGGTTTCTCACCTGCAGGGCTACCAGTCGGTGTGGTGACTGCCTGCACGGGGCAGTGGAGCAAGTAGGTTGACCCCACAAATGAACTCCGCTCACGAACGGGAATGGTTCAGCTCCCAGTCGGAGTGGGGACAGGGGGAGTGGGGAGTGGGGGGTGAGTCGTCGACGCGGTCCATCCGAGGCCTATAAGTTGAGTGCCACTTTGTTGGAATTGAACAATGATGACCGTTCCATGAATGGACTTGGCCACCGCTAAATCAATGTCGAATGTCCATCCATCGGTCGAGGATCGGCCGAGGATCGCCCGCCCGAGGTGACGCGTCGTCCCCTCCCCGTGTGACGAGGGGGCTGCTTCGCTTTATTATTTCGTCCCCACCACAGATGATGATCCCCGCCACAGGCAGAGTCGACAACGGTCAACTTGGAGCGCTGCGCCACCGCCACCAGGCGGGATCCGCTCGCTCTCGGGGGGGACGACTCAGAGGGAGAGAGAGGATGACTGACAAAGAGAGAGAGAGGACGACTCGGAGAGAAAGGACGACTCAGAGGCGCCACAGACGAGGGGGAAGGAAGCAACAGCAGCAGCCACGCAGCGTGGCTGGCGCCAAATAGCCCCCTCCCCCACCCAAGCTCTGCGGTCCTCTATATATGAAGATGTTTTCGTTGTTGTCGTTGTTGTAATTGTGGAATGTTTTGACGTTGTCTGCCGGCCGAATCGCCCGTGAACGAAAAGAGCTTCTCGGCTCAAGTGGGCTTCGCCCGGTGGGAAATGAACCTCCCGTTTGTGAGTCGGCGAACATTTCTACTCTGTGGGGGAAAAAAAATAAACTGGAGCACAGGGGGAGAACAACCCGCCCGTGATCGTCATCGTCGCTCGCCATCCACCAACCACAACCTCGGAGGCGTCGTGGGATCTGCCGCCCGGCGAGACTCCCCGGCACGTCGGCGCAGTCTCACGCGGGGAGGAAACAAAAATAAAAACCGACACAAAAAAACGAAACGCATGCAGTCCACTCCGCACGAGAGACGTCGCGATACAAATAGGCAACAACAAAAAATAGAACAAAATCAAACCAAAGTCCTTTGGCAAGCAGGCTCATGTGCAAGTCTGTACACCTTTTTAATATATATTTAGTTTTTCTCTCTGAAACAATAGCTTGTGCAGGTCGCCTTTTTTCTGTCCGCCCCGTCCCGTCAGTTCACTCCCAGTCGACAAAGCTTCACTCCGTCGATTGGTTATATACCCGGGCAGCCCGCCATGGTAACGTAGAATTTCCACCGCTCGCTTCAAAGGGGCTGCCCGCTGCAGCCGGGGCGAGCGTTCGCTCGGCGATTGGTAACGCGGAATAATAAGTGCGTTTCCTTGTCCGCTCCTACGCCACAGAGAGGCGACTTTATTCAGTGGCTAGTTCCTCGTCTCCTGCAATATTAACCAGCAAACCTCATTTTTTAGAGACACCTTATAAGGGAGGACCGCCCGTTGGCTTGACGGAGCTCCGTTAAGTTGGGCGCCGATATATCCAAAAAGAAGTGACCGCTGTTCATTTTCATGAAAATTCTATTCACGGAGCTTGGAGTTGAGCTTGGAGTTTGAACCCTTGACGTTCATGGACGGGTGTAGCAAAGCCATCGTCATTTGTGCGAGCCGGTCCGATGTTTCATGCACCCCGCTGACGTAAGCTTTCAACACCCCGATGGATCATCGCAAAGGCTTATGATTTTAATTTAAGTCGTTTTTTTGTTTTGTTTTAAGTTTGGCAGTAACTGTCTATCAACGGTGACAGCGTAGAGCTCTCAATCTCTCCCGTTTCTTCCGGCTTTCCAAAACGCAGCTCAGCATGCATCGTCGGAAGCCTCCGACGCATCATCTGTCGAGCACATTTAACAGCGATCGCTCGTTGCGTGCGCGCTTGTGGCGTCAGACAAACTCGGTGGTGCTTTGGTTCCTGAAACGTGGCAGGCCCTCTCTCTCTGGGAGGTAGTGCAGTCGCAAGATGGCACCCGGGAAAATGTATATATACATATATGTATACTGTATATGTATCTCAGAAAACCATAACGATGGTGCTAAAAAAAATGCCAGATGGGCGATCCCACAAGATGGTGGCCTAGATTCACAAAATGGCGGCCATACGATTGCAGTCGGGAGTCATCGATCCACAAGATGGCGACCAGTTGACGAAAGATGGCAGGTGTGCAGTTACGACGACGCCTGAAAAGAAAACGACGGGGTATGGCTGAGACGAACCGAGAACGAGACCGCAAAACGGCAGGAGGGCCCCGTAGATGTGGGGGTCCGTTGAGTTCACGGCGGCCTAGCGGAGGCTCCGTCACGGCGGGCCATCGCCCAGGCCGCTCACGAGGCGCTGCATGTGCCGCAGCTCGCTGGGCGACCGGTCCACCTGCGGGGACCCCGACCCCAGCGTCGCTGCTGCTTCCGCCTCCCCGTGCGAGCGAGTCTCCAGCTTTTCCGGCTTAACGTCCCGCCTGGCTCCTGCCGCCGACACTGCCACCGCGGCTGTGGCCGCCGCCGCTGCCGCCGTCGCCGCCGGGAGGATCGAGGGCAGCTGAGAGGGCAAGGAGCCAATGCCAAGGCCCGGGAAGGAGTAGGGGTTGTACCGCCAGCTGCCCCGAGCCGCCGCGCTCAGGAAGGCCGGGCTGGGCAGCGACGCCGTCGGCAGGTAAGGGTACGGGTACGGCAGGAGGCCGCTCAGGCCGGGAACTGCTAGGCCCTGTGCGAAACATTTGGTTGCGGGAGGCGAGACGAGGGCGGGAGGAGAGAGCGAAAGTGGTCACGGTCGGCGGTTGTTTTTACGAGCACTTGGGGATGCTGCTGGGGTTCCCTATATCTGGGTGACGGTGCTAATGATGATATTGTAGAGACACAATTTTTCTAGGAGGCTCAGGTAAATTATGTCTAGATAATTGCCTGTTTGATATGCTGTATGCACAGCTGTCCGGTCTGCTGTCTGGTGTACTGTCTGTATACCGCCCACTTTTACATAGCCACGTCCACACCTGGAACCTCTCATGAGACCTTACCTGGGACCTCACGTGGAGCCTATTAAGTGAACTTACCTGGGACTTCACCCAAGACCTCACCCAAGGCCTCACCTGGGACCTCACCTAGGACTTCACCTGGCACCTCACCTGCGGCGTGAGCAGAGGGTGGCCGAAGGGCCCCCCCGGCAGGGCCGGCGAGGGACCCCCCCCGTGGGTCCGGGCGTCGAGCCCCGGCACGGAGGCCAGGAAGGGCCCCAGGGGCCCCGAGTGCAGCAGGAGAGGGTGCGTGGGGGGCAGGCCCCCCGCCACTCCCAGCTTGCCGAAGGCGCTGCCCAGGTGGTGAAGGTGAGGGTAGTGGTGCTGCTGCTGCTGCTTGTGTGGCGAGCTCTCGGGGGGAGTGGAGGCGCTGGAGTTGCGGCTTTGGCGGCGACCGACGAAGGAGGGGGGGCGGCGCTCTTTTGCCGGGCTCGAGGGGGGCCCCGGGGAGCCCCCCGAATCCGCGCCGCCGCCACTGCCGCCGCTGGACCGCTCCCCGCTCCCAACCGAGCCCCCTGCTGGAAAGAAATGGGGTTTTAAAAATAAGTGTGTAGCGTCGGGGTGCTTAGCTTCAGCCGCAACACGTCCGGAACGCCGCTGTGTTCCGGGAATTCTATTGTCTTCAGCTGTGAAACGTGGACAGGCGACTCTTGAAACTCAGCGGTGCAATTCGTTGGTGAAGACAGCCTTGCGTGGCACGGGGACAGCTGCCACCGGGGGTGCCCCTAGGCGAGAGCGGTGGTTCTCAAATGGGGGGTGGGAGGGTACGCGGACCCCTGGGGGGCTATGTGTCTCGCTCGGTGTGTCTTTGTGTGTGTCTCTCTCTGCACGTGTGTGTCTGCCTGTGCTGTTCCCGTGTCTGTGTTATATCATTCATTCTTACCTGATGATGGTTGCTTGTGTTGCAATCGAAACGTCGTATTCTATTATGATTTTATTTTATTTTCTACGTGACGTTACCGAACTAACTAAAGAGTAATTCCTGCAGTCACGAAAGCTTCGAATCTAGTTTGATTCATAACCGCGTGTGTAATTATATCATGTACGCGAGACTCATTGGTGAAGCATCATGTTGTATGAATCTGCCTGCCGATGTAAAATAACTCGGGTGCAATTTGAATCCACATGGTAACATCGAGCGGTATAGAAAAGACCTTTCTAAACTCACCTATCATTAAGCAACGCCCTGGTTACGAAGAGTAACAAAGAGTAACCAGCGAGCGAGAACAAATGACGGAACGTGAGTGGAATTTTACGTTTTTATTCGCCTGCAGTTACTTGGCTAGCTGGGGTATAACCTCACAAAGTGGACAATTCGGTTTAAAAAAACTTATTAACGTTGAGGGATGAGGGGGTGGGGGTGGAGGGATGGGGGGGGGGTGGAGGGATGGGGAGGATGGGGGGGGTGGAGGGATGGGGGGGTTTCAAGTTTTCAAGTTTCAAGTTCATTTATTAGATATAGCCCTGTGAGCCATTCAGGGGGGTGGAGGGGTGGAGAGATGGGGGTGGGATGGGAAGGGGTGGAGGGATGGGGAGGGGGGAGGGATGGGGGGGGATGGGGAGGGGTGGAGAGATGGGGGGGGGGGTGGTGGGGTGGGAGACAAAGGCGGTCGGGCGTGCACTTGCCCCCACGAGTCGCGTGATGATCGCGTCGCGTGCACTTGCCCCCACTACCTCTACACGGGGGAGCTTTGTCTTTGTGCGAGTGAACGCGCAGTGCTTTCAGGAACTTGACCCCCCCCCCCACCACCACCCCCCCCCCCATGGATTCAGATGCCGCGGCGGGAGATCGAATCGTCCCGACCCCCTCTGCATGGGACCCCCCCCCCCCCATACAGTTTCTGGATGTCAATTTATCTTACACGGTGATCCATTAATAGATACCCCACTAATGTGTGTTTCCGTAATCGACCTCCTCCTGCCCTCCCGTTCCTCTCGCCAGCCGAGCGCACATCGCCACGACGGCCACGGGAGCAAGAGGAGAGCCCTTCAAACCACGTTCTCTTTTTTTGAACAATTGATGGGGGGGGGGGGGGGCTTTGCATTTAAAGGGTTCGTTTTCGGTACGTTTCGCGATGATGCGGCATTTGAGTGGGGCATCTATAAATGGATCGCCCCCCTGTATGATTGCGACGCAGTGTTCACAAGACAGCATCTGTGCAGAATGTACAAGTTACGCGATATGTAGAAACACCTTACACGCGCGTGTCTGAATATGTACGATAGATGTGTGTTTGTGTGTCTGTGTGTGTCTGTGTGTGTGTGTCTGTGTGTGTTAGTGGTGTGTGTGTCTGTGTGTGTGTTAGTGGTGTGTGTGTATTAGTGGTGTGTGTGTGTATATGTGTGTGTTAGTGGTGGGTAGTGTGTGTCTGTGTGTGTGTCTGTGTGTGTGTTAGTGGTCTGTGTGTTAGTGGTGTGTGTGTGTGTTAGTGGTGTGTGTGTTAGTGGTGTGTGTGTGTTAGTGGTGTGTGTGTGTGTGTGTTAGTGGTGTGTGTGTGTCTGTGTGTGTCTGTGTGTGTTAGTGTAGTGGTTAGCGCTACGCTGCGCTACGAACCTGGCGACCCAGATTCGATTCCCGCTCACGGCCAACACCGGTGACGATTATCTGAACCGGTCGTGGGCCTCCCCTAGGTCGGCTCGGCCTCAAATGAGTACCTAGTGCGGTGTGTAGTAAACATCGTCACTGGGGAGACAAAGGCGGTCGGGCGTGGTGCTGGCCACCCATCCACCCCTCGTGTGCCGTGCCGGCCATCATAGCTGCTTGGCTAACAGCACTTGCCCCAAAAGTCTGCTAAGGCTATACGGGGAATCTTTGCCTTTGTCTTCATGTACATGCGTGACATGCATGACAGCCTGTGTGTGCATGCATAGATGTACTTATTACATGCGTCCATATATAACAGTGTCAATTTATATATGTATATGCTTACGTGTACATATATATAGTCAATAGATGTGTACGTACACGTGTAGATGCTTACGCGTACACATAATATACATCATGTGTGTGTACGTGTGTGTGTGTGTGTATTCGTAGGTGCTGCTCACGAACAGCACTTGCCCCGCCAGTCTGTTAGAGGCTACACGGGGGATCTTTGTCTTTGTTGCCGCTGAGGTGCAGCTGACGAGACGCTGATTGCCGAAACGCCGCAATTCTGCGGTGCGACTGCCCCACGCGTGCTCTCGCGAGTGGCGTCATTGCGTGGAGAGACAAAGAGGGACGGGGAGGGCTTGCTGGCTACTTACTGTGGGTTCCAACAGTGGCATTGTCGTAATAGGTTTTTTACCCTTTAAACTGGTACAAAACTGACACCTTTATGCAAGGCATCATGTTTGCAATAACCACAACACAAGCAGTCAAAGTGCAAACAAAAAGAAACAACTCTGATAATGATATGATAAAGATGTGCATATCATTATCAGAGTTGTTTCTTTTTGTTTGCATTAGAAACAACTCTGATAATGATATGATAAAGATATGCATATCATTATCATTATCAGAGTTGTTTCTTTTTGTTTGCATTTTGACAGCTTGTGTTGTGGTTATTGCAAACATGATGCCTTGTATAAAGGTGTCAGTTTTGAAAGGGTAAAAAAACCTATTACTATATTTTGCCACTGGTAAAGGAGATGTCTCAGAGTGGAAATGTCTTCGTGCTGTTCGCTGTCTGTGCGATGTCCTCTGGCCTGACACTGGTGGCGAGGCTGGGCCATGCAGAAGGCTGCTGAGTCTGGTGGAGGCCATTCCGGTTTAAAAGACATTGCCACGAATCTCATCAGTTCTAGATTTGAAGATTTCGTGACTGCAAGGATTCATATTCTTGGGTTTTTTCGGTAAAGTCACGTAGGTAAAAAATTAAAATAAAATAAAAATCACGACGTTTCATACTCTTAGGTCATTTACTTGATACAGCCAGCGTGCTGTGACGGTTCCACCGGAAGACGGAGGCTTGTGTTGCCTCCGAAACGTCGTGATTTTTATTTTATTTTTATTTAAGAATATGAATCTCATCAGCGCCACGTGCTCACCACAGGTGCCGTGCGTGTGGTTAATGCGGTGATTTCATTCCTTGCGCAAGGTTTCTGTTTCGTGTTTGAACATATTCAAGCAACCGCTGCTGCTGCTGCTGCTGTTTTAATGCCAGGAAGGGTACAACACTCGTATTATGATGATTGTGTATTTCGGTAAAGTCACGTAGAAGGGAAATAATACAGTAAAAAAATATATATTCTAGATTTGAAGCTTTTGTGACTGCAAGTATTCATACTCTTAGGGTTTTTCCGGTCAAGTCATGTAGGTAAAAAAATAATAAAATAATCATAAATGAAAATAATTCAATTGATTTATTTTCATTTATTATTATTTTATTATTGATATTTTTTTTACCTACGTGACTTTACCGGAAAAAAAACCTAAGAGTATGAATATATATAACAATTTATTTTTTTTCCCTTCTGCGTGACTTTACCGAAAGAAGCAAGAATATGAATCCCTGCGGACACGAAAGCTTTAAATCAAAACTCGTATTCTTAATATTTTTTCATACAAACAATGCCGCTGCTACCGCAACAGAGACAATAATTCGCATGAATTTGGGGGGGATAAAATATGTTGAACTTCGTTTTATCCTTTTAGGAACAAAGTCTGTTTGAGAGTTTACATTCGTGAAGTTTTTGAAGGGTGATAAATCATTCTAAGTGGTAAAATAATACTAACCATAATAATCGTATTATGTATGTGTAGCCAACCATGTTATAGTAATTATATGACTATGATATAATAACTATTATTGAATACTACTTTCGAAATGTATATCATGAATTACTATACGCAATTAGACAATAATAATAAACAAATGCATATTAATTATTCAACAATAGTGAATCATTAATTATTCAACAATAGTGAATAATTCATATTTTACTTATATTAATGAGATACATTTCTAAAGTAGTGTTTACGTTTTATAATAATTCTAGAGCAATTCCACAACTGTGATATTATAATTGTATTTTTTTAGCGAGGAGTGAGACGCTGCAGTCGATAAAAAGCGGATGGATTGCTCATTTCCGGGTTAACGGCTTCGCTGACGATCTAAAACTACATTAAAATATTCTTTGGCTCGTTCGGTAAAGTCACGTAGATAGTTTGAAATAAAATAACAAAAAACGATGACAACGTTTCGTCGCAACACAAGCGGCCGTCATCAGGGAAAGGCGACCTTTTGTGTTGCGATCGAAACATAGCAGTGTTTTTGTTATTTTCGTTCAACCGTTGTACGTGACTTTAAAGCTTGCGTGACTGCAGGGATTCATCTTCTTGGTTCTTTCTGTAAAGTCACGTAGAAGGGAAATAATAAAATAATAAAAATAAAACATAATAAAATTATTCTCACGATGTTTCGGCCACAACGCACGCAGCCGTCCTCAGGTGAAGAACATGTCTGTCGGAAAGACAGCGTCTATTATATTTTATTTTAATTATTGTATTATTTCCCTTCTACGTGATTTTACCGAAAAGACCCAACGAATATGAATCCCTGCAGTTACGAAAGCTTGAAGTCAAGATTTAAATTATAATAATAACAAATCATGTTTAATTCTTATTTTTTACGATTGACAGCGAATCTATCGAAGTGGCTGATGTCACCACCATCATCATGATTATAGTTTAACACGTATCGGCTTTCGCCACCAATATCCCATACCGTGTCAACCCACACGGTTTACCCCGCGATTTCTGCCCAGGGAAATTGAGTTTTCAGGTCCATAAGGCGTGCAGCCGTTTCAATGCGGGCCGAATTATTATTGTTGTGTCTATTTGTCTGTGTTTCTCTCCTCGTGATGGGACTTTGTGGGATGAACGTTGAGATGTATAAGGGGCCACGGGGTGACCACTAAGGTCTGAGTTGGTCTGCAATAAGGTAATAGCAATGACAACGGGCCGATAGATACATTATCCGTACAACAAACCTTGCTCATTGGCCGTTTCGGCTGGTAGTGGGTTAATTAAGCGACACATTTATATATTGACGCGATCTAACCCCACAACCTCTCTAATGGATCGTGTGTGTGACGCAGCGATTTCGCACCTTTCTAGCCACAGGCGATCCCGAGTCTCTCAGCCTGCAGAGGTTTGTATTGTCCCATTGTCAGCTGGGTTTGAATATTATTGTTTAAACTATTTACTTTCAGCTATGTATTATTTTAGCCAGGTAAGGCCGCCACTGAACTGCGTAGCTGTCTTTCAGAAGCGACCTGGACACCACGAATTGAGAGTAGCGGCTGATCATCATCATCATCACCACGTGGACATGTAGAGCCAGCAGCGAAATAACTCTGAGACGTGTGGTGGTGATGTTGGTTCTAAATGTGGAGTGGAAAACCCGGAGGCACCCTGAGACAAATCCACGCGACTACGGGGAGAGAGAAAGACACGCAAACTTCAAATATACAGCAGCAGGCGTCAGGGTCGGAATCGAACCCACGACCTTCTGTATACCAGGCGAGGTAGTTAACATCTCCTAGCCACTGTGATGATGATGAGAGAGAGACGCAAACTCCAAATATACAGCAGCAGGCGTCAGGGTCGGGATCGAACCCACGAGCTCCTGTACACCAGGCGAGGTAGTCAACATCTCCGAGCCACCGTGATGATGATGAGAGGGAGAGAGAGACGCAGACTCCAAATATACAGCAGCAGGCGTCAGGGTCGGGATCGAACCCACGACCTCCTGTACACCAGGCGAGGTAGTCAACATCTCCGAGCCACCGTGATGATGATGAGAGGGAGAGAGAGACGCAGACTCCAAATATACAGCAGCAGGCGTTAGGGTCGGGATCGAACCCACGACCTCCTGTATACCAGGCGAGGTAGTCAACATCTCCTAGCCACCGTGATGATGATGAGAGAGAGAGACACGCAGACTCCAAATATACAGCAGCAGCAGGCGTCAGGGTCGGGATCGAACCCACGACCTCCTGTACACCAGGCGAGGTAGTCAACATCTCCTCGCCACCGTGGTGACGGAGAGAGGGGAGGGGGTAAAGGGGAGAGGGGGTAAAGGGGGGAGGGGGGTGGAGGGGGCGGGGTCCTCTACCGGTGTCAGCTGTCTTCGCCCCGGGGGAGGGCAAAGGTTAAACCGCGGGGAGGGGCCCTCAGTGCGCCCACCACTCAGCACCCACCACTCAGTCAACATTAGTGAATAACTAATATTTTACATATATTAAAGAGACACATTTCAAAAGTAGTGTTTACGTTTTATAATAATTTTAGAGCAATTCCACTACTGTGATATTATATTTCGATTTAAAGCTTTCGTGACTGCAGGGATTCATCTTCTCGGTTTTTTGGGTAAAGTCACGTAGAAGGGAAGTAATAAAATAATAAAAATAAAATGTAATAAAATAATAAAATAACGTTTTATTTTTATTATTGTATTACTTCCCTTCTACGTGACTTTACCGACAAAACCAAGAAGATGTGATATTATAATTGTATTTTATTTTTTTGCAAAGAGTGAGACGCTGCGGTCAATAAAAAGCGGAGGGATCGCTCATTTCCGGGTTAACGGCTTCGCTGGCCATCTAAAACTACATTAAAATATTCTTTGGCTCGTTCGGTAAAGTCACGCAAGTAGGTTGAAATAAAATAACAAAAAACGATGACGTTTCGATTGCAACACAAGCGGCCGTCATCAGGGAAAGGCGACCTTTTGTGTTGCGATCGAAACGTCGCAATTTTTTTGTTATTTTCGTTCAACCCTTCTACGTGACGACTTCACCGAAAGACCCAACGAATATGGGGGAAGGGCAAAGGTTAAACCGCGGGGAGAGCGCCCACCACTCAGTACTGGAGGAGGTCGTGGGTTCGATCCCGACCTTGACGCCTGCTGCTGTATATTTGGAGTTCGTGTGTCTCTCTCTCTCTCATCATTATCACGGTGGCTAGGAGATGTTGACTACCTCGCATGGTATACAGGAGGTCGTGGGTTCGATCCCGACCCTGACGCCTGCTGCTGCTGTATATTTGGAGTTTGCGTGTCTCTCTCTCATCATCATCACGGTGACTAGGAGATGTTCACTACCTCGCCTGGTGTACAGGAGGTCGTGGGTTCGATCCTGACCCTGACGCCTGCTGCTGTATATTTGGAGTTTGCGTGTCTCTCCCCGTGGTTGTGTGGATTGTTTTCCGGGACCTCCGGTTTTTCCCTCCCACATTTAGAATCAACGTCACCACCAGACGTTCTGAGTATTGGGCTGCGAGACATTTCCACGTGATGATGATGATGAAAAGCCATTACATCGATGAGCTGCTTTTTCACTTGTGGCGGCCAGGTGGCTTCTGAAAAATAAACTAAAAGGTCAGTGAGCTTTACCTGGGAAGATTAATAACGTAATTTAGTTTAAACTAAGTTAGACTAAGTTCAGACTGAGACTAAGACCATCCGACTCAATGCTGCCTTGCTCAAGCTTGGGAAATTGATGTCCTTACACAATGTGAACTTTCTATACTTTATTTTTACTTATTTATTTTTACTGAAGTGTTTACCTTTCCTATCATTTGCACTTCTATCGTATTTTCCTATCGTGTTGTAGCTTTCTGACCCCGTGCCTCCTGCAGAATTAAATATACTTTTTGATTCTGAGAGACGGCGTTAATAGAACCAGGGAACCGACGATTTTGTCGATGAAACCCGATCCAATAGCTACTTAGCTCACCCGGGGAGTGTTGTGCCTCCCCGAGAGTGTTGTGGAGTGTTGTGGAGTGTTGTGTCTCTCCGGGAGTGTTGTGGAGTGTTGTGTTTCTCCGGGAGTGTTGTGTCTACCCGGAGTGTTGTGTCTCTCCGGGAGTGTTGTGTCTCTCCGCGAGTGTTGTGGAGTGTTGCGTCTCACCCGGAGTGTTGTGCTCGGGGCTTGTGTTGGGGCTGGGCCGCTCTTTTTTCTCCTCCTCCTCCTCCTCCTCGTCGTCGTCGTGGTCTTCGTCGTCGTCGTCGTCGAAGTCGCCGCGGCCGGGCGACGAGCGGCCGCGGCGCGACGCTCCTCGCGCCTGCTGCTCGAAGGCGCGGAGACACTGCAGGGCCAGCTGCCTGCTGCACCACCACCATCATCATCATCACTATCACTATCATCACCACCACCATCACCACCACCGTCACCACCATCACCACTATCACTATCATCACCACCACCATCACCACCACCGTCACCACCACCACCATCATCATCATCATCACCAACACCATCATCATCATCACCAACACCACCATCACCACCACCGTCACCACCACCACCGTCACCATCACCATCATCACAATCACCATCATCACCAACACCACCATCATCACCATCATCATCACCACCACCACCACCGTCACCACCATCACCACCATCATCATCACCACCACCACCACCACTATCATCACCATCACCACTATAATCATCACCACCACCATCATCACCATCACCACCACCACGATCACCATCACCACCATCATCACCAACACCACCAACACCACCACCATCACAACAACAACCGCCATTCGCCACTAAGTGGCGGTGACGTTATCACGACTCCCGTGCCAGGCTAGGTGCACGTTAATGCCACGTGAAGTGTCGAACGCCCGCTGGCAGGAGGTCACGGGGCAGACCCAGCAGGTGCCACGGGTCGACTGTGTTTTAGTCGCGCGGCGCTCCGCTCGTTGTTGTGAGCGTCGCTCCTCCGCCCTCCGTTGTTGTTGGAGGGCGACTGCCTCCAACTGCCCAGTAGCGTCCTTTACGAGCCTCCTCCACAGAGGCCGATCTTGACACCGCTGCTACCAGTCATCGGCAAGCCGACTCAGCTCCACATCCTCCTGTACCACATCACTCAATCTCTTTTCTAGCCCGTGTCACTCACCCACCTATTCACCCATTTATTTTCTAGCCCGTGTCACTCACCCACCCACTCACCGATCACTCCATCTCTTCTCTAGCCCGTGTCACTCACCCACCCACTAACCCATCACTCCATCTCTTCTCGAGCCCGTGTCACTCACCCACCCACTCCCCCATTTCTTTTCTAGCCCGTGTCACTCACCCACCCACTCACCCATCACTCCATCTCTTCTCCAGGCCGCACCGTGCCCGTTTAGCCCCGCTATGCAGCCAAAAAGAAGCTGTTTGGCCATGCGGTGGTTGGGCATGCGGTGGCTGGGCATGCGGTGGCTGGGACATGCGGTGGCTGGGCATGTGGTGGCTGGAACATGCGGTGGCTGGGCATGCGGTGGCTGGGACATGCGGTGGCTGGGGCATGCGGTGGCTGGGGCATGCGGTGGCTGGGCATGCGGTGGCTGGGGCACGCGGTGGCTGGGCATGCGGTGGCTGGGCCTGTGGGCAACGTGACCCAGCCAGCGAAACGTCGCCTGCCCGAGAAGCTCACGGGAGATGTGGACCGTGTCCATGGATCTCGCAAGGATCTGTGAGCTCCTCTACACGGTCCAGTCTGCAGGTTCAGGGGGGTTCAGGGACCCCCTCCCCCCAGCGATCAGTGGGGTGTTCCGTGGAACTCCGTTACCGTTTCTCTCGACGTCCATTGCCCGTGTCGCGGAAGCCTTTGGCGAAGGGGTTGTGGTCGATCTTGAGCTGCGTGATCTGAGGTTCAGGACGGGCGAAAGGTGGTGGGGGGGGAGTGTGAGGAGGGGGGGGGGGGCACAGGGTGGGGCGGTCAGTAGGGGAGCGGAGCGGTCGTTGGTCTGTTATCCTCGGCCGAGGAACGTGGAATGACTCCCGTTGCTCTGAGCCTGCCCCTCGCGTCCCTGTGATCTTCGTCTTCGTCGTCTGCTTCTTCTGCTCGCGACTCGCGAGGTCTCCAGCCGCTCTGCTGCTGCTGCTGCTGGGAGTGGTCGCGCCGGTGGCTGCCACTGCGCAGCTCCCAGACTGCGGAGCGACGCTTCGTGCCCTTCGGTAACGATCAGAACAACCAGAGTCGTTAGAGACGTGTAAGTCTGTCTTGTGGGTGGGTGGGTGAGCGAGTGGGTGATTCAGTGGATGAGTGGAGTGAGTGAGTGAGTGGGTGAGTGAGTGGGTGAGTGACTGGGTGAGTGAATGGGCGAGTGACTGGGTGAGTGAGTGACTGGGTGAGTGAGTGGGTAAGTGACTGGGTGAGTGGGTGAGTGAGTGGGTGAGTGACTGGGTGAGTGAGTGGGCGAGTGGGTGAGTGACTGGGTGAGTGAGTGGGTGAGTGACTGGGTGAGTGAGTGGGCGAGTGACTGGGTGAGTGAGTGGGTGAGTGAGTGGGTGAGTGAGTGGGTGAGTGACTGGGTGAGTGAGTGGGTGAGTGAGTGGGTGAGTGAGTGACTGGGTGAGTGAGTGGGTGAGTGAGTGGGTGAGTGACTGGGTGAGTGAGTGGGTGAGTGACTGGGTGAGTGAATGGGTGAGTGAATGGGTGAGTGAGTGGGTGAGTGACTGGGTGAGTGACTGGGTGAGTGAATGGATGACTGAGTGGGTGAGTGACTGAGTGAGTTGGTGAGTGAGTGACTGGGTGAGTGAGTGGGCGAGTGGGTGAGTGACTGGGTGAGTGAATGGGTGAGTGACTGGGTGAGTGAGTGGGTGAGTGACTTGGGATCAACGCTTTGCCCCTTGCTAAGCTGACCCTGGGAGTCGTTAGAGATGTTATTAAAGTCGTCTTCACAACTCACCTCTCTAACTTGGCCATCATACCCCACCGAAACCCTGGCCGTTTACTCTGCAGCTTCTGTTGATTTCCTGCTCATCATACACGGTGGCGCATGGGGATCTACGGATGACATGCTCTGCTTGATATAGATTTATTTATTTATTTTTGTTGTGAGTTGGAAAATCGTGGCCATGTAACGCGCGCAGCTCCCGGTGTGTACGGCTATAGTCCGCTACCCACGGCACGATGTGCACCTAGTCTGGCACGGGCGCCGCGGAGACGTCACCCGTCACGTTAGTGGCGAGAATAAAGCAAGATATCAACTACTGAGCTGTGGTTCAGTTTACCAGCTAAGACCCAACTGAGCACAATTGATAAATCAACGTGGAAATGAACAGTAGCAGCTAAATAACTCCAAACGCGTGTTGATGTTGATTCTAAATGTGGAGGGGAAAACCGGAGGACCCGGAGACAAATCCACGCGACCACGGGGAGAGAGAGACACGCAGACTCCAAATGTTTAGCAGCAGGCATCGTCAGGGTCGGGATCGAACCCACGACCTCCTGCACACCAGGCGAGGTAGTAAACATCTCCTAGCCACCGTGATGATGATGAGAGAGAGACACGCAAACTCCAAATATACAGCAGCAGGCATCGTCAGGGTCGGGATCGAACCCACGACCTCCTGCACACCAGGCGAGGTAGTAAACATCTCCTAGCCACCGTGATGATGATGAGAGAGAGACACGCAAACTCCAAATATACAGCAGCAGGCATCGTCAGGGTCGGGATCGAACCCACGACCTCCTGCACACCAGGCGAGGTAGTCAACATCTCCTAGCCACCGTGATGATGATGAGAGAGAGACACGCAAACTCCAAATATACAGCAGCAGGCATCGTCAGGGTCGGGATCGAACCCACGACCTCCTGCACACCAGGCGAGGTAGTTAACATCTCCTAGCCACCATGGCGTCCGGGTGTGCCTCGCGTGGAGAGCGGTGGCGCAGCGGTTAGTGCGCTGCGCCGCGAACCCGGTCGACCCGAGGTCGATTGCCGCTCGCGGCCACCAAACAACGCGATCCGAGCCGGTCCTGGAGTCTCTCCCCTGGGTCGACGCGGCGTGGTGGGGGGTGGGGGGGAGAGACAAAGGCGGCCGGGCGTGGTCGCCGGTCACCCCCACGGCCGCGCCCTCTCGACGTTGGCACCGCTGCGATTTGCTGCCCGCACCCGCGGGCCCCGTGAGGCCACGCGGGGCAGAGATTGTTGTTGTTGTTGTTGTTTCTCTCCCTCCCCTCCCCTCTCCTCCACCCCCTCCCCTCCCTCCCTCCCTCTCTCCCCTCCCCACCCTCCCTCCATCACCCCTTCCCGCCTCCCTCCCCCTCTATCTCCCCCTTTTACCCCCCTCCATCCCCCCTCCACCATCCTCCCTCCCCATCTCCCCACCTCCCCATCCTCCCCTCCATCTCTCCCTCCCTCACTGCCCCCCACACTCCCCTCCCTCCCTCCCCTCCCTCCCTCCCTCCCCCCACCCTCCCCTCCCCTCCTCCCCGCTTCTCCTCCATCCCCTCCCCTCCCTCCCCCACGCTGCGTCAGCGGGCAGTCTAAGTAAACGCTCGCTAAGTGATCGCATTAGGCCGCAGCAGCGGCCCCCAAATTGAATTAGGGGGCCACTTCACAGCTAACAACGCCCACGTGACCCTCGGCGGTCACTGACTGACGTCTGGGCAACACCGCGCCCCCCCCCCCACCAACCCCCCACACCCCCCACACCCCCCCACACCCCCACACCGCCAACTCAATCATCTCCCACGTGGCGATGCTGGACGTGGTCTGTCCAAGCCATAAATCCCTCCCCGGTGCCCCTACATTATTTATCCGGCGCGGATATGCATGCAGGTACGTGTATGTATAAGTACGTACGTATGATGTATGTATGTCAAGGCCGTAGCCATGGAGTCAACATTGGGGGGGACCAGATTTTGCAGGGGGTCTGGGGGTCCCCCCCCCCCAGAAAAATATCTAAATTTGAAAACTAATTTCTTGTCTAAAATATTAAAACATTCACCAACACATGGGATGGACTTTTAATTCTTTTTTTACAATAATGCCCAAGAGTGTATTTTATTACATTGCTCTGTTTTTTTTTTACCATTTCTTGCTTAATTGTATGTAATGTTTGAGATTAGGGATTAATAAAGTACAACCATAACCACAATCATATAAACAGAAATCGATGCATGGATTTATGTGAAGACAAGTCCAGATATTGTGGCCAAGTTTTAGCAAATTGTTCTTTTCATTTACATAGCATAGCAATTATGATTACTTTTTTAATATTTTTATAGCAATATGTATGTTGTATGTTGAACTTCTTTTGCACCATACGTAGCCGGCCGTGCTACTCGGGGGTGCCCGGTGGAAGGACGAATACGTCAAAAACACAACACAGAGCAGTGCTCAAGAAATGCGTTTGTCAATCTGAACGATGATCACGACGATGATTTTAAAGTGCATCAAAGCTCCCCAGTGGCTCCCCTAATCTCAGAGGGGAGAGGCGTTCCAGACGGCCACCGGAGCGCCTCTGAAAGCGGCGCGCGACGACGACGATGATGATGATGATGCGGTGACCACCGGCGTCTTACGACCGGAGTGTCCCCTGACGATGGTTTATGCTCCTGTGAGATAAACGAAATTTTTTTTTTCACCAGGTAACGTCCACTGAGCTACGTGGGCTCGTTTTTGTTCAGAATCCACCTGGGCAGCCACAAGTGAGAGCTCAACGAAGTTGGCGGCTCATCAGCACGTGGGAATTTACAGCAGCTGCGGCCAAACAGTCTGAACGCGTGGTGATGTTGATGCAAAATGTAGAGGGAGAAACCGGAGGGCCTTGGAGAAAAATCCACGCGACCACGGGGAGAGAGAGAGACACGCAAACTCCAAATATACAGCAGCAGCAGCAGGCGTCAGGGTCGTGATCGAACCCACGATCTCCTGCACACCAGGCGAGGTAGTCAACATCTCCTAGCCACCGTGATGATGAGAGAAAGACACGCAAACTCGAAATATACAGCAGAAGGCGTCAGGGTCGTGATCGAACCCACGACCTCCTGCACACCAGGCGAGGTAGTCAACATCTCCTAGCCACCGTGATGATGATGAGAGAGAGAGTGACACTCAGACTCCAAATATACAGCAGCAGGCATCAGGGTCGTGATCGAACCCACGACCTCCTGCACACCAGGCGAGGTAGTCAACATCTCGCCATGGGGTCTGATCACCCCCCTCCCCTCCAGTACCCCCCCCCCTCCTCGCCTCCTCGTATCGTCATTGTGCAAGACAATGCCGGCTGTCAATCACCACTGCCACTCTCTCTCTGAGCCAGCCCACGAGAGATTTCTCAAAGGCCCTGACCGTGATGTTTAAATCTCGAGTCCCTTCGTTGCTTCGGATTCTCCTCCTGGTTGCATCTGCCGAGTCTCCAGCAGCGGTACCAGTGAGTATCCGACAGAGTTGGTAGGTGTGACCATCTGGTCTGTGTGTGCGGTAGGCGGTCGACTCAGCCTCAAATGAGTGTGTAAACATCACCGCTAGGGAGACAAAGGCGGCCGGGCGTGGTGCTGGCCACCCACCCCCTCGTGTGCCGTGCCTGCTCTCACAGATGCGAAGAGCACTTGCCCCAACAGCCTGTTCAGGCTATACAGGCGATCTTTGTGTGTGCAGCTGTGTTGTGCGTGTTTGTGTCCGTAGACTAACATCACCCCATAGTCTAACATCACCCCAAGACTAACACCATCCCAAGACGAACACCACCCCATAGACTAACATTACCCATACAGTAACATCGCCCATGGACTAACATTACCCATAGACTAACATTGCCTTTTGAAATGCATTTCCCATAGATTAACACCGCCCGTGTACTAACACCGCCCGTGCACTAACACCGCCCATGCACTAACACCGCCCGTGTACTAACACCACACGTGTACTAACACCTCCCGTGCACTAACACCGCCCGTGTACGAACACCGCCCGTGCACTAACACCGCCCGTGTACTAACACCCACCTTGTCGTTCTGGTAGGCGGTGACGGCCAGGAACTGCGTCTCGGGGAACACGTAGGTGCGAAACGTAGAGTAGGGCAGCCGCAGCAGCTCGCTGGCGCGCACCACGTGGAACCGCGGCTGGTACTTGTGCATGGAGTTGAGGATCGTCTGCGGGGTCAAGGGTAACGAGGGTTATTCGGACCGGAGAAATCCGATGAGCCGTGAAGCTCTTTCGTCGCCCGCGTCGCCGCCCACCCCTGACTCGATGTCCTCAGCCTGTTGTTTTAGTTGCTCAGGTAAGGGCCCCAATTGAGATGTGTAGCTCTGCTTCAGGAGCGGCCTGGCCTATCGACAAATCATCGTCGTCATCACGTGGGCATGTACAGCTGCAGCCAAATAACGGCAAACGCGTGGTGGTGTTGATTCTAAATGTGGGAGGGGAAAACCCAGAGGACTCTGCAAAAATCTACGCGACCACGGGCAGAGAGAGAGAGACACGCAGACTCCAAATATACAGCAGCAGCAGGCGTCAGGGTCGGGATCGAACCCACGACCTCCTGTAGACCAGGCGAGGTAGTTAACATCTCCTAGCCACCGTGATGATGATGAGAGAGAGAGACGCAGACTCCAAATATACAGCAGCAGCAGGCGTCAGGGTCGGGATCGAACCCACGACCTCCTGTACACCAGGCGAGGTAGTCAACATCTCCTAGCCACCGTGATGATGCTGATGAGAGAGAGACACGCAGACTCCAAATATACAGCAGCAGGCGTCAGGGTCGGTATCGAACCCACGACCTCCTGTACACCAGGCGAGGTAGTCAACATCTCCTAGCCACCGTGATGATGCTGATGAGAGAGAGACACGCAGACTCCAAATATACAGCAGCAGGCGTCAGGGTCGGTATCGAACCCACGACCTCCTGTAGACCAGGCGAGGTAGTCAACATCTAGCCACCGTGATGATGTTAGCGAGCGCCTCATTCAGAAGGACGGAGATGTTGATGGGCATGTTATCGCCTTTTGGGCAATGTTAGTTTGATGGGCACAAACACCCACACGCAAAAACCCAAGAAGACGCAACATACTCTTTGGTTGTTTCGGTAAAGTTACGTAGGTATAAAATAAAAATAAATTTAATCACGACGTTTCGGGCGCAACACAAGCGTCCGTCATCAGGTGGGACAACCACAGCAAGAAACAACTGCTGAAGTGGACCCACACGCAACGCCACACGCACACCAACACGCAAAAACAAAGATCCCCCGTGTAGCCTTAATAGGCTGTTGGGGCAGGTGCTGTTAGAGAGTAGCAGCACCTATGAAGGCCGGCACGGCACGCGAGGGGGTGGGTGGCCAGCACCACGCCCGGCCGCCTTTGTCTTCCCCCTAGTGGCGATGTTTACACACCACACCGGATAGTAATCTGATGCTGAGTCGACCTAGGTGAGGTCCAGGATCGGTTCAGATAATCGTCACTGGTGGTGTTGGCCGTGAGCGGGAATCGAACTCGGGTCGCCGGGTTCGTAGCGCAGCGTAGCGCTAACCGCTGCACCACCGCTCCCCAAACACAAAGACCCCCCATATAGTCTTAACAGACTGTTGGGGCAAGTGCCGTTGGCGAGAACCTTTGAATGCCGGCACGGCACGCGAGTGGGTGCGCGATCAGCATCACGCCCGACCGCCTTTGTCTCCCCAGGTCACCAACACACACACCCCCCCCGCACAGACGCACACACACTAAACACACAAGGGCACGCAGGAGCCCATTAAAGGGCAGGAAGGCTGAGCCCCTCTTTACAGAAGGCGCTTGAAGTGAGCGAGACGGAGGGAGGGAGGGGAATGGGACATTCATCACTGGCACCACTTATTAAGGTCCCATTAAAATTGCGGATTTTTATTTTTTATTTTTTTCTCCTCCATACTTTGGTTCTTAAAAGTCTCTCTCTCTGTGTGTGATGGACTCCCCCCCCCCCTACTCTCTCTCTCTCCTTCTCTGGTTTATTGGCTGCAATAAACCACGCAGTCGCCTGGGGTGGCTCCGTAATGGTGGCCACAAATCCGCCTGCAAGCTCAGCCGCACTCACGACCAGACAGAACAGGAGGCGACCGGCTTTGTCTTACACCCCCCCCCCCCCCCCAGTGATGTAGACATCTACAGTTATTTACCACGCCCGGCCGCCTTTGTCTCCCCCAGTGGCGATGTTTTACTGCACACCGCCACCAGCTACTCATTTGAGGCTGAGTCGACCTAGCGGAGGCCCAGGACCGGTCCGGATAATCGTCACCGGTGTTGTCTGTCAGCGGGACATCTGTTGGGGGGGAGGAGGTGGGGGGGGGAAGAGCTTCATAGCTCATCGGATTTATCCTCCGGGATAAATAAAAACTTTCCGAGTCTGAATCGACGAGGAGGTTTCCTCGCAGCTGCCTCATCGCCTCAACCCCCACCCCCCAAGTCCCCGTTGCCAGGGACAACGGCCCGCGGAAGTTGACATCAGGGAACAACTTCTGAGTAAGTAAACCCTCGCCCCTGAGTCCACACGGCGCTCTGCGACTCAGATCATCGGTGCACATCCCGTGACAGTCAACGCAGACACCATGTTGAAAAAAACTAAACGCATACACCCACATTGTTTTTTATATATATATGCTCAGAGGTAGAATGTGGCCAAATAAATTTGCCAAACTATATTTGTTGACGCGAATTTGTGGTCTGTGGGTGGAATCGCGCGTTTGGAGTTGTTTGACTGCTAGACATTTCCACGACGTGACGATGATGATGAACACATTGTCCTGCGGAGGGAGCTGGTAGGAACGTTGGGCTGCTCGGTCAATGGCCAGGGTCAACGGCGGCGTGGTGTATTCCGCAAATATGCCGACTGTGAGGGCGGGCACAAGCCGGCGTGAGTAGGTTAAACGTTGAGTTTTATAAGGGCACCACGGGGTGACCAGCCCCTCCCCACCCAGCCCCCCCCCCACCCAGCCCTACCCTCCCCACCCAGCCCCTCCCCACCCTCCTCTCCCAGCCCCTCCCCACCCAGCCACATCCCTCCCACCCCCCACCCAGCCCCACCCTCCCCACCCAGCCCCTCCCCACCCTCCCCACCCAGCCCTTCCCCACTCTTCCCTCCCAGCCCCTCCCCACCATCCCCACCCAACATCTCCTAGCCACCGTGGCACCTATGCAGACCCATAGATACCCATGGATGTACAAAGATGAGCACGGTTGGCTACGTAGGGTGCGAAAGAAGTTCAATATAGATACATGTAGATACTGAGACGAACACTGGACACTTACAGAGACCTATATATGCGTTAAAACGCTACATAGAGAGAGAGAGGCAGAGATTAAAGGCACCGCCACATGTTGCTGCCATACGCGAGAGGGAGAGGCAGCGGGAGCGAGAGCCGGTGAACCGGAGCCGGTGCAGTGCAAACGAACTCCCCTTTAACTGTGAGCCGGTTGATGGAATTACCACCCCCCCTCTTCCTCCTCCTCCTCCCCCCCTCTGAGAGCCCCCCACAGCCCCCCACGAGCGAGAGTTCACGTGGGGAGTGGTGGCGCAGCGGTTAGCGCGCTGCGCTAGGGAGCATTCGGCAATGACCCCCACGACCCCGCCCCGCCCCTCCCTCCCCGGGAGTTCCTCGTTTACGGCAAACGTCACCACCACTACCACCACCACTACCACCACTACTACCACCATCACTACCACCACCACTACCACCACCACTACCACTACCACCACTACCACCACCACCACTACCACCACTACTACCACCACCACTACCACCACCACCACTACCACCACCACTACCACTACCACCACTACCACCACCACCACTACCACCACTACCACCACCACCACCACTACCACCACCACTACCACTACCACCACCACTACCACCACCACCACTACCACCACCACTACCACCACTACCACTACCACCACTACCACTACCACCACTACCACTACCACCACCACTACCACCACCACCACTACCACCACCACTACCACTACCACCACTACCACCACCACCACCACTACCACCACCACTACCACCACCACTACCACTACCACCACTACCACCACTACCACCACTACCACTACCACCACTACCACCACCACCACCACATTGACAAGAGAGAAATGCGTTCACAGTATTTGGCTGTTGCTATGAATCTCCACGTCACGACGACGATGATGACGATGATGACGACGATGATGATGACGATGACGACGACGATGATGATGATGATGACGACGATGATGATGACGATGATTATGACGACGATGATGACGATGACGACGATGATGATGATTATGACGATGATAATGACGACGATGATGACGATGACGACGATGATGATGATGACGATGACGACGATGATGACGACAATGATGACGATGATGATGACGATGATGATGACGATGATGATGACGATGATGATGATGACGACGATGATGACGACAATGATGACGATGATGATGACGATGATGATGACGACGATGATGACGATGATGATGACGATGACGACGACGATGATGATGACGATGATGATGACGATGATTATGACGATGATGACGATGATGACGACGAGCCAACTTCGCTGAGCGGTCATTCGCGACAGCCAAAGTCGCGTCTCAAGAACACACCGAGGCGCATCTCGGCGTGGCCTTGGCTGGTTGAAATAACATTGAGTTTGAGCAGTTCATTCGACACCGACGGTCGCGCAGTGCAGGTGCGCGCCGCCTTCCTGAGCATCCTCCGTCTACGGGTTTCCAGGAACGCATCCTCGACTTAAACCGGGGTGTGCCTGTATCAGGGTCACCAGGGAGCAGCCCTGCAGCGCTACGAACCCCGGCGAGCCGAGTTCGACTCCCGCTCACGGCCACCACCAACACCGCCAGTGACGATGATTCTGAACCCGGTCCCGGGCCTCCTCCCCCAGGTCGACTCAGCCTCAAATGAGTACCTTGTGCGGTGTGTGAAGAAACACATGGCCACTGTGTAGAGACAAAGGCGGTCGGGCGTGGTGCTGGGCACCCACCCCCTCGTGTGCGGCAGTGGCGGCCTTCATAGCGTGCTGGCTACTCGCTGACAGCACTTGCCCCGACAGTCTGTCAAGGCTATATGGGGGGAAGGGGAATCTTTGTCTTTGTGTGTGGG